AGTGACTTCACATCCCCAGTCAGGAAGTAGGAATTAGACCAGAAGTAGGACCAGGCTAAGAAACTTTATAAAGTCCAACCCCGGGGGACCCACTTCCTCCATTGAGGCTGCACCTCGTAAAGGCTGTGCATCCTTCTAAACCAGTGCTGTCAGCTGGGGACCGTGTCGAGGACACCAGACATTCAAACCGTACCATTATATGGTCTTCGGGGTGCACCTGGAGGCATGTGACCTAAGTGTATTTATGTCGTATGTCGCTGTGAGCCATCGGCCCTCACCCTGTGGTGTGAGAAAGCAACTTCAGTGATGATGGCTTCTGCATCCGGGGAGGAAGAGAGGAAGGTAGACGTCTCTCACCCAGCGGTGCGTGGAGAGATGCAGAGGCTCTCAGGGCTGTAGAGACTGACTCTCCTCCAAAGAGGATAAAAGAATGTTCTGCCTTGTCTTAGAAGGGAAAATGTCCCTGGAAGGCAGGGGTGGGTTGTAACTCACACTGTAACAAAATAATGCTTTCTCGTGTCTAGCATCTTTTTATGTCTTTGAGAATTTGCCAGATTCTTTACCCTTTTTTTCCTCTTCCTTTGTGAGCTAAGCATGTAGCTTAGACTGTGTGTGGATGTCTGCATGTGTGGGTGCATATGCACGTGTGTGGATGTATGTGGAGACCCGAGATCAACTTTAGGTGTCCCCTCCACTGTTTTCCACCTTATTTTTTTTTTTTTTAGGCAGGGTCTCTCTCTCCCCGGCACTCACTTATTTGGCTAAACAGGCTGACCTTCAGGCCTCGGGAATCCATCCCATTCCCACTCGTGCCAGGATTGCATAGATGCACAGCACCTCACCTAATGTGTGGGTCCTGGGGACCAGACTCAAGTACCCCAGCTTGCCTGGCAAGCACTTGTCAACTGAGCCATCTCTCTTCATGCCCTTCTTAAATTTGGGGTCCTCTAGTCTCTTCCTCCTGATTAAAGATGAACCCCACATGCCTCTATCAGGATTCTTTCTCAGCCCCGCACATTGCTTCCCAGTGTTGGGCAGTCTTCCGCCTTAAGAATTACATGCAATTGCTCCCTTCCTAGCATGATCCTATGTCCCTTCCTCCTTCCTTTCTTAGCCTCTCGTGTCCATTTTCCTTTTCTTACATCCGTTTCCTGTCACACAAATCTCCAGGAATGTAGTGGCTGGAAACAGCAGTGCAGTGTGACTTTTCAGTCCTTTGAAGTCACTGGGTTTCTCATGTCAGCTGGTGGCTGTGTTGGATTGTTCCAAAGCCCCGGTGAACTAGATGTCTAAGATGGCTTCCTCAACTGGGCATGGTTTCATGCCTACAACCCCAGTCCTGGTGGAGGCAGATGGATCAGTCATTCAAGGCCAGCCTAGTCTACATGGCGGGTTTGAGATTGTCTTGAGCTGCATGAGACCTTGTTTCAAAACACAAAAAAAAAACCTGCCAGGTGGCGGTGGTGCATGCCTTTAATTCCAGCATTTGGGAGGCAGAGGCAGGCAGATCTCTCTGTGTGTTCAAGCCTAACCTAGTCTACAGAGCTAGTACCACGACAGGCTCCAAAGCTACACAGAGAACCCCTGTCTCGAAAACAAAACAAAACAAAAAACGACAAAACAACAGCAACAACAACAACAAAAAAAGCTTTAGCTAAAGAGATGGGTCAGCACTTAAAGGCATTTGCTGCTCTTGTAGAGAACCCATCTTCAATACCTAGCACCCACATTAGATAGCTCACAGCCACCTTTAACTTCAGTCCCAGGAGATAGGGTTCCCTCTTCTGGCTACCTCTGGTACTGCATACACATTTTGAACATGTTTTCTCACACACACACACACACACACACACACACACACACACACACTCCCTCCCTCCCTCCCTCCCTCCTTCCCTCCCTCTCTCTCTCTCTCTCTCTCTCTCTCTCTCTCTCTCTCTCTCTCTAAACAAATACATCTTTAAAGAAACCTCAAAACTAAAAATAAATTACCGTGATATGGTTGGACAGTTGTCATTCACCCCCCCCCTCCATTATTTCTACTCCTCTCTTCCCCTCTCACACTTCCATGTCCTTCTGCCCTGGTCTGGACTTCCTCCTAACAGGGAGGTTTCAGGCTATGAGACATCTTACACAGCAGCTGTCTTTCTCCCCACAGGCATGTGAGGAAGCTCAGGGCCTGCAGCAGCGTAGGTAGGCATAGCCTCAGCTTCACTAGTGCCAGAGCGCACAGGCGAGAGCAGGTGACAAATACAGCTGGAGGTGGCTTGTTGGACGCGGTGGTCCTCAGCAAGGACTGATTGCCACACTTCCCATGCATTGCACATAGTCGGTCCCGCTACTTCTTGCAAATGGAAATGTCTTACTTTCTCGTATTTCATCTTATGTATGCAATTCTTTTCTATCCATAGTAAGAGATGGAAGGGATTCTTTGGAGAATTTCTGTGCGTGCTCTCTAAGGAATCTTTAAGAAACTCATTTCCATTTAGCTATATTAAATTAGTATCTAAATGATCCTATAGAAAGGATGTGTGGCTTTTCTTTTTCAAGAAAATCTCTTTGAGAAATCAGATTTAATTCCTCTTTAACCGACAATGATAACGTATCAAATTTTAGGAGGCAGATCAGCTTTAAGGAAAGGTGATCCGCCTTCTGTGTGGCCGTCCTTGTGTGAACTCTTCAACAATCTTGCTTTTCATCCTCAGTCACTGACTAGCAAAGCTGCCATCGCACTGGGGACACAGCATCATCTGCTCTCTGCTCAGACCTCGTTTGACTCTTCCTGAAGCCAGCGCTTTTTCCTAAAGGACTGAAAAGGGGAGATGAAGCTGTTAAGGCCTCTGGCTGCTCTTGCAGAGGATCCAGGGTCAATTTCCAGCATTCATGTGGTGGCTTACAACCATCTGTCACTTCTTGAAGTCTCTTGTAGATCTGGTCGGTGTCATTTTCAAATCTTCCCACCAATAGATTTTTATTTACTTAAATCTTTTTAAATTATTTTTTAAATGCCTGAGTGTTTTGCCTGTGTAGATGACTGTACCATCGTTTCAGAGAATCTCACACCCTCTTCTGCTGTCTGATCATCTTCGATGAGACTTTACCCTAGACTCCTCAACAAAAGTCCACTGACACTTGGCTCCAGTGGATAGGATAGCCACAGTCTAACAGGTGGCCCCGGTTAAACTCAGTAGATCACTAGACAAAAAGACATGAAAAGGGATTTAGACGTGTGGACATAGGTGGGAGGGAGATGAGAGGGTGGGGTGGGAGTAAGGATGTATCATTTACGTGTATGGAGTTGTCAAATAGCAAATTAATGTTCTACAAGTATTGTCATAGAACAGCAAGCAAAATGTGGAGACCTCTGTAGCGGCAAGAGGGGAGAGGCACTGCCTGTCCTCCACGCATGGCCCAGCTCCCGAGTTTAGCTCAGGGTGCCCCTTTTCATGTCATCTACAGATGGTGACACATGAACAAAACTGGGGAGGGAAAAGCAACATGGAGGAAAAGGCTAGAAGGGTCAGGAAGTCATAGGCAAATATTAACTATCCGTAATGATTTCCTGATGACCTCCCCTATACTCTGATAATAACCCCTCACTATCTCCGTGTCCCTCTTTTGCTCCCCCTCTTCCTTTCCAGCAGCTCTGCTTTCCTGTCTCTTGTCACCCAGTGAACCGTCAAACATAGTAGCAGGTTGTTCATAGGAGCAGAGGCGCCTCACCAATGGCTACACCACAGAAGATAATGTCCCCCCTTCCTCCAGCAACTGCCAATAGCATGTAGATCGTTAGGGTGTTGTTGGGGGGGGGTAGTTTATAAGTCTCTACACCTTCCATGACCAGGCCAAGTCTTACATGGGCCATTGGCAGGCTGTCACACTGCTGTGAGTTCATGCGTGCAGCCCACATGCTGTGCCCAGGAGACAGCGTTCTAAACCATTCCACCCCACCCTTGGGCTCTGCCTTCTCTTCAGTGCTCCCCAAGCCTTAGATGTGGTGACGGACACAGATGTCCTACTTACGTTGGGCACTCAGTAGTCACTTATTCACCAAGGTTGGAGCAGACCTCAGTCTCTGTAGTTCCTCTTGTCCATGACAAACCGAAGCCTCTTTTACCGAAGCTGACGTCAGCACTGACCTAGGGGAATAAGGGTGAATATTTAGAAGGTAACTTGACAGGCATATCATATTTATTTATGAAAGAGCAATAGCCTTCCAGTAGGACCCATGACCTCCCCAGTCATGGGTTTTTGGCCAGGTTTACAGGACCAGATGTGAGTGCTCTCCTGTGGCATGGACTGCATTTCCAATCAGGAAGCGACTGGCTACTGTCATAAGAGCGCGGGCACTTCTTCTCTCGATATAGTTGGTAGTGGGGCAGTCAGGGCCCACTGCTGAGGAGGATGGTTCAGACTCTGCTCCCCTAGCTGCAGGCACCGTCCAGCACTAGGAGACCTCCGAGGCAGGAAGAGGGGGCCTTTATCTCAGTTCCCTCTTAATTCTCTGTGTTCTTCGGGGAGAGTGCGTGGCATATCCACCACCAAGGCCTCAGCATCTTGTTCTGGTGGGCAACCAATTGCATTGTTTTGGGGACCAACAACTCTCAGGCAGGTGTAGTGGGTGGCAAGTTCTTCTTCAATATTTCATTCGTTCTCACGCCTTTCTGCACAGCCGTATTCTTTGGTGCTGATGAGGGAACCCGCAACCAAGAGTCTTTAAGTAACTTGACCTCATGCCAATTCTTTGTTCGACTCTTGAAACTCCTGTATTCAAACTGAACGTGGTACAAAGATTTTGCTTCATCTCGGGCAGAAGGGAGGATTTCAATCTCAACCTGCCCAGCAGTTCAGCCAGTGTTCCCTTCAGCCCCTTGGTCTCGTGAATCCACCGCTGGTCACTGGTAATCTGTGAAGTGAAACTGGGGAGCGGTCGTGAGATGAGCCCGTGGCACCAGGTCAAGTAACACCAGTGTATCACTCTCTCTTGTTTAACCCTATAGTGGAGTGCGACAAGGAGTTCTCCCCACGCCAGCGACACCACAAAGAGTTCAAGTTCAACTTATCCCAGATTCCCGAGGGTGAGGCGGTGACGGCTGCAGAGTTCCGCGTCTACAAGGACTGTGTTGTGGGGAGTTTTAAAAACCAAACTTTTCTTATCAGCATTTACCAAGTCTTACAGGAGCACCAGCACAGGTATGAAGGCTCAAGGAAGCCCAAAGGTGGGGCTGCTCCCTGCTTCTCACCCTCTCTCCTCATGTGACCCCAGGTGTCTTTGGAAGGTGGTCTGGCGGTCAGGGGGCTATTGAACATGAAGGGCTGGTGTGCTGAAGGGTAGTGTTTACCTGGCAGGGTGTTTTGTTGCTAAGTAGATTTTTTTTATAAAGATTTATTTACTTATTATGTATACAGTATTCTACCTACATATATCCCTATATATAGGGCCAGTAGAGGGCACCAGATCTCATTACAGATGGTTGTGAGCCACCATGTGGTTGCTGGGAATTGAATTCAAGACCTCTGGAAGAACAGTGCTCTTAATCTCTGAGCCACCTCTCCAGCCCCAAGTAGATTTTTTTAAATAGGGGTCTTTCCCCCAAGCAAGTCAATAATACTTAGTAAGCATCCTTGATGACCAGCTAATTGATTTATTGGGATAAACTGTTTCCTGTTGTTGTTTGGTCCTCAGTTTTGATGATGTGTGGGTGGCTAAAATTAATGCACACATTAAAATTATAGAATAATGCTTACAAGTGAGTGCAAGTCAGGTGACTGCAAATATGTATTTGTGTATATAGTATACATACATGTTTACTTTGAATAAGCGTATTCAAACACTACCATTTAGATACAGGGAATGATAGATTACTTTTTCAGTATGTCTATGTAACTATGCTTTGCTAAAAATGAGTTCAAGTGACTGCTTTATAGGGGAAAAAATCTGCAATAAAGTATATTCATGGTGTTGCCTAGCAATGAAGAACAACTTGGCCAGCAACTGACGGAGCATGGACAGGCAGAGGACTCGGTAGTAAGGCTTTAATTCAAATCTGTAGTCCCAGAAAGGAAACCAATGGGTCTGAAGTGTGTTGAGCAGACGGGGATTTGTCTTGCACAGCACTAGGTGAGAACAGAATACAGGAAGTGGAGAGTCACGTGATACGGGGTGCAGCTTAAGCCACAGATAATGCCTAGAGCAACTGGAAAAGTAAATGCAAAGATAAGCACGAAAGAAGGGAGGAGACCCCACACTTACAGACCCAAAGACACTTCAGTTTGGCCTTTTTCTGAAGCAGGGTTGCGGTGTAGCTCAGGTTGCCCTCAAACTGGCAGTCTTCCGGCCTCTGCCTCCTGAGTCCTGGGATTATAGAACGCCCACAGTCTCCTTTGGCTTCCGAAACCAAATCTAATTTGCCTTGAAAGACTGTCGACTTTCCAGTAGGTTCCAGAGATTCCAGATTGACCCTGGTTTCTTCTGGACATACAGATCTGTGGTGGGGGCGGGGGAGCTAGCCCTGGGAAGGGCTGCTGTAGCTTTGGAGGCACATGGGTGTCTGGTGCTCAGGCCCTCTCAGGTCTGTTCCCTGGGAGCTTCGCTGGAGAGAATCTCTATAAGTTCCCAAGGGAACTTGAGAGAGAGTGTAGGAGAGAGCTGAGAGACAGAGAACAAACTCTCAGAACTCCACCTGAGGGAGGAGAGAGACCGGAGAGGGCTTAGGGGGGAAGACAGAGCTGGCAGCTGTGAGTGGGGAAAGGAAACTTAAAGAGGGAACAGAGCAGAAGCTGTGGGACTGCAGGAGGCTCCTAGGGGAAGAGACAAGGAAAATGTTATAATTTGCTGGCTTGTCACCTGGGTGCCCTGTCCCTTTAAGAGACAAGCCCCACCCACTCCCAACTCCCTCCCCTTCCACTTGGATCTCCCACCTCCTCCAGCCTGGGCTCTGTCTCTCTTTTGTCTCTCTCCTGGAGAGATAGATGACTTCTGCTCTCTCTGCCCCCCTCCTCCTCTATCTCTCCCTGTGTTCGTCCCCCTGCCCCCAGTCTCTCTGCTTCTCTCTTCTTCCCCCTTCTCCTCTTCCCCCTCCATAACTCACTAAATAAACTCTATGCCCAAACTCTCTCTGCATGAAGTCTTCTACCTGTGAAGGTGACCTACCAAGGCCTCAGGGGATTCATCGAGGCCTGGGGGCCCACCAAGGCCTCAAGTTAACTGCCGCTATCCCTTGTGGGACTGCTGTCCCTCGTGGAACTGGCCTTCCTCTCCCATCCTTATATCTTTAAAAAAGAATAACAGAAAAGGTCTCAGGTGGCCCCAGGCTGGACTGCAGCCAGGGCTGTAGCTCCTAGGAGGAGGTGAGAGACTGAGGCTTTGGGGGAAAGGGATGGGTGAGCGTCTTTAAAGATGTCCCATAGATAGCCAGATGGGTGTAGCGGTCCAGAGCTGAGAGTCCCCAGGTGGGTGCCTTGGCAGGGAGACTTAGAAGGCCCTAAGGGCTGGGAGACATACTTAACAAAGTAGAGGAGTAGCAGGTGGAGGGAGGCCGCAGCTTAAGTACTGGACTCTAGAATTTGGAGTCAGATTTGGTGGGCGGCGAAAGCCAGAAGAAACAAATAAATGCTTCGTACATAGCTTAGGAGAGTCAGATCAGCAGCTTGGTTCAGAACGGACGCGTTCCTGGGACTGGGATTCATTTATGCCATTCCTGGGTTTCAGCACTGGATGACTGGAAAAAGAAAGAAAAAGAAAAGAAAAGAAAAGAAAAGAAAAGAAAAGAAAAGAAAAGAAAAGAAAAGGAAAGAAAAGGAAAGAAAGAAAGAAAGAAAGAAAAGGAAGACATTAGTGCTCCTAGATGTGGGTTGAGGTGAAGGTTTCTTATAGATAAAAGGGAGGGCAAAGCCAGAGGCAGCAGCATCTGGAAAAGTCCCGGGTGAACATGGTTAGACACATGGTTAGACTGAGCCAGGCCATGTGAGAGAAAAGGAGTTGGGGGTGGGGAGGCGAGAGAGGAGCCACAGACCATGAGTGGCAACCTGGGCCAAGAGACTGGTATAGCCAACATGGCTGAGTTATATAGGGGCCAGAGGAGCTGGAGGAAGTGAAACCAGCCTAGTCCCTGAGCTGGAGAATTCGGGGTAAGGAACAGGAACAGTACCCTGTTCCTTACCAGTCAGCCAAGGAAGACTGTTAGGGACTGGGGACCACTGGAAGAACGTGGTGGCCAGCATCCCCTTTGATATGCTAATAGGCGTCTCAGTTAGTCCTTTGTTCCAGGTTTGAGACCTAACAATGGGAGGACCAGCAGATGCCAGGCACTGGGAGCACATCGTGGTGCTGGATAGATACACTAAAGCTGTATAGGTCATGTCTTAGCTGGGACGGTCAAACCAAGAGTAAGGCATTGGGGTATGGAGACAATGGACCAGGATTTCAAAACAAGGAAGATTTTGGTGTTTGCTTTTCCATCATAAATACATAAATCTGGTAGCTTCGCAAGAGCCGTCTTGTTTGGGGAAACAAAGTCTCTCCTTGCTAGATACTCATCTTTTGATGCACTGGAGAGAACCAGCACTCAGTGGCTCTTTGGCCCTGTCTTCACCATTGGCTTTTCAGTCTGCCCAACTGGGTATTCCATTTCACTTCTCTAGTGAGAATAGCCTGAAGGTACTTGTTGGGCTCACAAGTTTGTTTGAAATGCAGGATTCTCCCTCTCTCACAAGAAGAGTCCTAACAAAAACACTAGGCTAGCAGTATAGTGATTGTGAAATTTTTCAAAAGAGTTTTTTATTTCAAAAAAAGTGCTAGCAGGAGCTTTGTGAGATGTATCCTGAACTCTGGCCACAAAGGAGCAGCTGCCACGTGCTCGGGATGATGGTGACATCCTTCCTTGGGCTAGCAGTGCGTCCGGCAAGCCGAAACTAGAATGGTCCCAACCTTGGATGACTCTCGGGTTTATTTGTCTCATAGGACGGGAGCGCTTGGCAGCTGGGTGTGTTTAATTTGTGTACCTAGGAGAAGACAAGGAAAGCTGGGAGACTTTCAGGCTGTTGAAGGCCTCCAGGTTGGGTGGGGGAGGTGTTCTTATCTGTGGGCCAGGAGCCCAGGCCTCCTGCTATTTCCAAATGTTCTTCCAGAGGCCCCCAGACTTAGCTGCAGGGCTCCTTCTGCTGGTTTGACCTCCCCATCTGTACCATCTTGGGGTGTCTTGGCTGAACAGGCTTTTCTGAACAGAAAGGAAACTTTTTTTTATCTAATCTGCACTGAAGTGCAATTTGTAGCATTTGCTGTGTTCACTTAAAGTAACAAATGTTTGTGCTACAAAGTAGTTAGTTGGCCTCCTCGAGGGAAGAGAGTCGGGTTTTTAAATGCTAACTCAGAACGTCAGCTAAAGGCAGAAGAAATGCCGTCTTGCATCTTCTGACATAAAGAGCTGATTGGGAGGTGACAAGAGCCCCAGAAAAGGCAAGTACTGGCTGTAGAAATATGTTTCTGTAAGTAACTGGATCAGGTAAGTTTACAACACCACTAGCAAGTGACTTCTTAAGGACAGGGTGCTTATTCCAGAAACAGGGTACTTGACCCAAAGCCTGAGAACGGGTATTGAGATGGATATGTAAGTCAAGGAAAGACCTGAAGCAACCCTTAGGTTACAGTGAGAGCAATTTGATTATTTATACCAAGTCCGAGGCATTTGGGATACTCTATGTTTATTACTTCTTTTAAAATTTGTTCCGTGGTGGGCTAGCAAGATGGTTCAGTTGACATTCATGCCTGGTGACCTGGTTTCAATCCCCAGCACCCACATGAAGGTAGACAGAGAAGCAACTCCACAAAATCGTCTTCTCATCACCATACACATGTCATGGTGCACATGCATCATGTATACACATGTCATGGTGCACGTGCATCATGCACACACATGTCATTGTTCACGCATGCATCGTGCACACACATGTCATGGTGCACACATATACCATGCACACACATATCATGGTGCACACATGCTGTGTCTGTGTGCGAAATGACAATAAAATTAAAAAGTTAGGGGTGTTGTGAATGTTTATGTTTTAAGATGAGTTTATGGAATGTGTATTACTGTTCTCTGGCTGTGAAGAGACACCATGACCAAGGCAATTCTTAGAAGAGAAAGCATTTGATTGGGGTTTTGCTTATAGGTTCAGAGGGTTAATCCATTTCC